TCGTTCGCCTCCCACCTCGTCCCCATGCTGACCACGTCGTCGCATAGCGTCCGTCGTCTTCATGTCGCAGCTGGTGCCGCCCAAGAAGAAGGCGCTCACGGTGTACCCGGTGTTGCTCTTTTACATCTTTATCAGCTGGATGATCCTGATTCAATAAACGCGCGTCCTCACGCGAGCTCGATCGCTGCAATCTCTACCGTCGTAAACTCCACCCGCGCCTGGAGGAGCTCGATCACGCGACCGGCCGATAGCTTCCAGTCGACGACGCCTCTCGTCGTCGGTCGGCCGTAGAACTCAAGCACGTCGTCGGGTACATCGACGTTGAGTACCATGACGCATTGCCGGAGGGTCCCAAAGGCGCGGTAATGGGCGTGGTTGAACTGGACCTTCTCGCCGAGGTAGTTGGCAACCACGCGGACGTCCTTTTCGAGCTGCATAGCACCAAGCTGGTTGAATGGCACGAGTTTTGTCAGCAAGAGGCCTTCGAGGAGCTCGGCAACCACCACCGTAACGGCGTCGACGAGCTGCTCGAACGTCTCGCGCGCCAGGTGCTCTTCGTACGGGTCGAGAAGCAGGCGTAGCTGCGTCACGAGCGAGGCCGCAAACGGATCGTTGACTTCGTTGGCGGCGAACATGGCGTCCGTCAAGTCGAACGACGTCTTTTTCAAAATCGGGCTCAGAAACGAGGCCAGCTTGGGTTGAAAGACGCTTGCAATGTGCGACAAGGCGGTCTCGAGGAGTTCCTTGTAGCCTTTGGCCGCATCTTGGAGGCCTACGAGCGGCCTTGGTACCTCGTGGTTGAGAGAGATGAGGACCTGAGAGACAGCTCTTGATGTGGGCCGGCAATGGATCCGAGAACGCGGCCATCGCGTCGGCTTCCAAGGTCGCTTGCAGCTGCGCGAGGTACGAGAGGATCGTGCCAATGCTATTGAGCGTCACGGGCGGCGCCAGCACGGGCGTGAGTGGACCCGACGTATTCGTCGAGGCTGGTGGCGTGCTATTTAAGTTGCGCGACGTCATCTTCTTGCCCAGCGTCGCAATCGTTTGGATCTGATCGCGTAGCTGCGTGCTCGACTGCAAGTTGGTGAGAAGGCCCGTGAGCGGTCCGGCCTCGCGCATCTCCCGCGGCAGTGCCCGGACGCGGCTCTTGATCACGTCATACAACGTCGTCTCGAGCAAGGTCGCGACGAGGTTGAGGACACCGCAGGCCGCGTCGACGTGGCCCGTGGCGAGCGCCCGGCACGCGCCATTGCGCGCGACGTAAAACACTTCGTCAATGATCGACGAGACTGGAATCAACGCCGAGTGGCTCGCGATCGAGCGCATCTCCTCGGTCGCCAGGGCCTTCTTGGTCGACGCTGCGAGGCAGACGTCCTCGAGCGCACAGTAGAGTGCGGCGAGCTCCTGGACGCTCGTATTCAGCGGGCTTGCATTGAACGACGCGAGGAGCGATGAGGAGGACGACGACCGGGCCATGTAGAAGACGTCCCGAGCCCGCACGAACCGCTCGTAGGTCTGGGAATGCTGAAGGACAACTGCGACTTCGTTGAGCTGCGGGTTCCAGTCGACGGCGTTGCTGCTGCTCTCTGCCGCCACCTTGGCATTAGGTCCGGTGGCGTCCGGGAGGTGGTGCGCTGCGCGGGCCTTGTGGACCAAGTCGGCGAGCCCACGCTGGGCAATGTACGCGTCGAGAAGGCGCACTGCGATCGGGCTTGCGACGTTGTAGACGCGGCTCAGAAGCCGCTCGGCGCCACGCACCGAGCCAAACGACTGCAGCATGAGTGGCTCAAAGCGCAGTGTCACCTCGGCGACCGTGTTGAACACCTACGTGCGATAGCATGACAAAGAGAAAAAAGTGCGTGCGATTTAAAAGACGTACGTGGATCAAGTGCGACGTGAGGTCGTGGATCGAGAGGCGCTGCAGAGACGACGAGGGCGGTAGACGCTCCTCGAGCTGCGACGCGACGAACGCAAGCACCATGCTGACGCCTTCTTCGGCAAACAACATGGGCTCGAAGATGCTGCCGAGGCGCATGACGGCGGCCTCGTCCTTTGCGTGCAGCGCAGCGCTCATTTGCCGCTCGATCGCGTCGCGAATGTCGTTCTCGGCGCTGTTCATGCGCAGCTTGTCGCCGACGTCGATCGGTATCGAGAGCGCCTCAATGTCCCGGAGCTCCTTGAGGCACGCTGCGGCGTCCTTGTAGTTGCGCTCGTGCATGCACGCTTGGAGCCGCTGCATGCTCTGGCGTACGCGTAAAATGCCATCGCTCCGCTCGATGGACGCCTTGACGCGCTCCTGGACGCGTCCAAGAAGACGCACCTCGCGCGTCATCTTCTCAGCCACCTCGTGCGCACCCGCGATCGCCGCGCCCACATGCTTGGTCTGCTTGCGCAGCACATCGATGCTTGCCGCGTCATGGCTGTAGAGATGGTGCTGCAGAAGCGCCTGCGTGTGGTGCCAGAGGGCCTCCTTGGCGTTGGCTGGCGGCTGCTCGCCAGAGATCTGCCGCTTGATGGACGAGACATTGGCATCTGCAGTCGCATACCGCTCGAGGC